TCGATCGATTTTGCCCTCTCTCTCTCTCCCCCCCGGCCGCCGCCGCCACCGCGTCCTTTACCGTCCTCTTCGCCGCTCGCCTCGCTCCCTCTATCTCTCTCTCTCGCTCGCTCCTTTCTCTTTCACGCCTTCGTCCTTTCCCCTTTGCGCGACTCTCCGTTCGTTAATCGGCCGCCGTACGTCCGACCGCGTCTCGAGTCTCGAGCAGCGGCAGAGGCAGCAGCCGCACCGATATCGAGATCGATAAGGTGTATCCGGTGACGTCCGCGCTCCTCCGCCCCGCTATCTTCTCGATCTCGTGCGCGCTCGAAATATTTTCGTAACGTTGTTCCTCCGATAATACGCCGGCGATGCTCTCTCTTTCCCTCTCCATCTCTCTCTCTCTCTTTCTTCCTCGCTCTTTCTTCCTCTCTCTCTCTTTCTCTCTCTCTCTCTCTCTCTTTCTCTCTCTCTCTCTCTCTCTTTCTCTCTCTCTCTCTCTGGTCCTCCGCCGCGGTCTATCTCCTATCGCCGGGTACGAATTTATCGATAAACAGCCGATTCCAGTAATAACGGCGCGCAAACATACGCGGACCAAAATCACCCGACTCGGTTATTCAGTAATAACAACGGCGAGCGATAACCGTGCAACACCGCGGCGCGTCGCCCTTCCCCACGATCGACTCGTCATCGATGCCGAGTCAATCCCGAAAGTCGGAGTGCCAGGCGGCCGGTGGCCGCGGCCCGATCGATTCGAAGTCGATCGCCGCACGGAGCGGCGGACGTTCGTCGTTGCCCCCCCCCCCCGGTTACATAAAACCACGAGCGCGCCCGGCTTTTTCCCGTACGGTGGTTCTACCGGCCCCGGTATACGACGTACTCTCTCTCGTTCGTTCGTTCGGCTCGTTCCCCTTTAACCGTTCGGTTAGAAACCAGGGAGAGCCCGATATTTCGGGGCACGATTATTTCTGGAACGACCGAAAAATCCGTAGCATTCGTGGCATTCGTCCGCGTCCCCGTGGGCCGCGCGCAGGTAATATAATGTCGCCCGTTGTCGTCGTCGTCGCCGTCGCTACGCGCCGCGCCGCGCCGCGTCGCGCGCCACGGTGTTCGAAGCTTCTCGCGTAGCCCCGTCTATATCGCCGACGTCGCCGCCGTCGTCGTTCCGGTAAAGTGGGACTCCCGAGAAGGCCGAAGGCTGGCGCTCACGGCCGACCAACCGAACGAGCGATAATTATCGGGCCAGGGTAGGGCGAGAGACTCGACCGTCCGTCCGTCCGTTCGTTCGTTCGTTCGTACGCTGGCTAGCTAGCCGATGCGACCGTTCGCCACGGGAAAAAGAAATCGACGATTATAGGCGACGTCGGTCGCGGCTGCGGTGTCCGCGCGCGTATTTACGAGAGTAAATACGCTCGGTCGCCGTTGCCGCCGCCGCCGCCGGCGACGGTAGTCGCTGCCGCCCAGCGGCCTGGTAAATTTATCCGCGAATTACCGCGACGTTCCTTACTCCGCAACTTCGTACGGCCGCGTTCGCTCGCGTACGGATTTTAGGCCGCGCTCATAAATCCAGCTCTNCTCTCTCTCTTTCTCTCTCTCTCTCTCTGGTCCTCCGCCGCGGTCTATCTCCTATCGCCGGGTACGAATTTATCGATAAACAGCCGATTCCAGTAATAACGGCGCGCAAACATACGCGGACCAAAATCACCCGACTCGGTTATTCAGTAATAACAACGGCGAGCGATAACCGTGCAACACCGCGGCGCGTCGCCCTTCCCCACGATCGACTCGTCATCGATGCCGAGTCAATCCCGAAAGTCGGAGTGCCAGGCGGCCGGTGGCCGCGGCCCGATCGATTCGAAGTCGATCGCCGCACGGAGCGGCGGACGTTCGTCGTTGCCCCCCCCCCCCGGTTACATAAAACCACGAGCGCGCCCGGCTTTTTCCCGTACGGTGGTTCTACCGGCCCCGGTATACGACGTACTCTCTCTCGTTCGTTCGTTCGGCTCGTTCCCCTTTAACCGTTCGGTTAGAAACCAGGGAGAGCCCGATATTTCGGGGCACGATTATTTCTGGAACGACCGAAAAATCCGTAGCATTCGTGGCATTCGTCCGCGTCCCCGTGGGCCGCGCGCAGGTAATATAATGTCGCCCGTTGTCGTCGTCGTCGCCGTCGCTACGCGCCGCGCCGCGCCGCGTCGCGCGCCACGGTGTTCGAAGCTTCTCGCGTAGCCCCGTCTATATCGCCGACGTCGCCGCCGTCGTCGTTCCGGTAAAGTGGGACTCCCGAGAAGGCCGAAGGCTGGCGCTCACGGCCGACCAACCGAACGAGCGATAATTATCGGGCCAGGGTAGGGCGAGAGACTCGACCGTCCGTCCGTCCGTTCGTTCGTTCGTTCGTACGCTGGCTAGCTAGCCGATGCGACCGTTCGCCACGGGAAAAAGAAATCGACGATTATAGGCGACGTCGGTCGCGGCTGCGGTGTCCGCGCGCGTATTTACGAGAGTAAATACGCTCGGTCGCCGTTGCCGCCGCCGCCGCCGGCGACGGTAGTCGCTGCCGCCCAGCGGCCTGGTAAATTTATCCGCGAATTACCGCGACGTTCCTTACTCCGCAACTTCGTACGGCCGCGTTCGCTCGCGTACGGATTTTAGGCCGCGCTCATAAATCCAGCTCTCCCCCTTGGGGCCGCGCGCGACGTTGCCGGGGGTAGGAGGGTCGGATTTAAGGGTTTTGCCACGGGTTCGCCGTCCCTCCCCCCCCGTCGCCCGTCCCACCGCCGCCCACCCCACCCACCCCCGGTCCACCCTCCGTGCAGCTCCCGGCGCGGCTCCTCTATATTTCAGAGGAGAGAGAGCAGAGGTTGGAAAAACGGCGAGCCCCGGAGAGAGATCCCGGAATCGCGGGGAAATTAAACGAGCGTTCGGGTACGCGCGAAAAAATCGCGTCGCTCGTAAATTTCCGACGACCGGCTTTCCTCTCCTCTTCCATCCCATCGTTTCCTGTGTCCGATTCTATCTCGTTCCTTCTCGCTTCCTTTCTCTCTCTCGTTCTCGCTCGCTCGCTCTCGCGCGCGCGTCTTTTCTGGCTCTATCATCGGCCGTCGCTCTCGTCGTCACGGTCGCGGACCGGAAACTCGGACACGGAGGCGTCCCTCGGAACTATCGCCGAGGGGAAGGACAAAGAAACCGACGCCGCTGGCGACGGCGGCGGTGGCAACTTTCGGGATAGAAAGAAGGAGAGCCGACCGGAGAGGCTCGCGGACCAAGGATATACAATTCTGTTATAGGGATCCTATGGAGGAAGGGTATGCCGCGCGAAGGGTTGCCTCGTGTGCTCCGGTGTCACCTTGGTAAGGACGAGAAGCGGAAGACGACCGGTAGCGGACGACGTCGACGTCAACGTCATCGTCGGTGTCTAGCGACGTGAACAAGGAGGAGATGGAGGAGGACGACGACGTCGACGAGGACGACGAGGAGGAGGACGAGGACAAGGAGGAGGAGGACGACGACGACGACGACGACGACGACGACGACGGTTGAGAAGAGAGAAGAGGCCGAGAGAGGGTCGTGGACTGAAGAGGGGTTTTAGTGGATAAGGGCGCAGAGGGGTAAAGAACGAGAGAAGCGCGCGTTCGACAGCGCGAAGGAAGACCGAGGGACAGGAACGGAAGAGGACGAGGTGAACCTGTGGGGAAAGGCTAGGGGCGGAGGAGGGTTGGGTCAGGGAGGGACGGATAGGTAGCGTAGAATAGCCGGGGGTATAGGCGAGACGAGGCGGGGACGAGGTAAAGCAAGACGCGCGGCGCGGCGCGGTTCGGCTCCGCGCGGCATGGCAAAGCATGGCAAGGCAAGCCAAGGCATGGCATGGCAAGGCGAGGCGCAAGCTGGGCTGCGGCGGAGGATCGGCGAGGGAGAGGGGGAGGGGAGGGCCGAATGGCGCGGTGCCGCATGGCAAGGGGAAGTCCGGGCGGTGGGAAGCCGGAGAGGGAAGGGGGGGCCGGGCTAACGACGGTGGGGCGAAACGGAGAAAGAGAGGGAGAGAGTGGGAGAAAGAGCGAGCCATCGCGACAGAGAGTGGGGGGGAGAAAACGGCGTCGCGAGTCCGCGGAAAGCCGGCGACCACCGCCGCAGTTGAGCGTCGCGATTCGTCGCGAGAACATCGTGCGTTGGTAGCCGTGCGCTGGTAGTCGTGCGCCTCGACGTGTAGTACCGCCGTGTGCGCGCACACAACGGAACAGTTAGCTGCGAGACGTAGAACCGGGCGGATCAACTGATCGCCGATCAGGTTCGACGGTCGAGAGGGAAGCGAACGAACCAGCAACGGGGTGCGGTACGGTGCGGTGCGGTGCGGTTCTGTGTAGTGTGCGGCGCGACTCTCGAGGCGACACAACGCGCGCCCCGAACCAGTAAGCGCGGTGAACGCATACACCGCCGGTTCAGTCGAGGTCGATCCACCGTCAGGTGATGATCGCCGGTGTCACGGTCTCGTTTGTACCGTAAGCTGTACGCGTCTCTGTTAAATCGCGATTGACTGTCGTTCATATATTTCGTGCATGTATACACACATTCGGACTGTTTGTATATATACTGAGATATATATATAGTGTTACGATACGCGCATATATATATACACATATATACACGTATATATATGTATATATATATATATATATAAAATCGAGCCGATGTTCAACGAGTTCACGATCTAGTCGGTTTAGTCGCGGGCTTATTTATCGCCGAGTGAAGGAAATAGTGAAGACTTGTGATTATTGTGTGCTGTAACCACCGGCGATCGATGATCGTTGTTCTCTGGTGATATATGGAACGGGATACGTCGAGCGACACGATCCACTGATATACCCACACGTTCGCGTGAACCTGGAAGATTCGCCGTTTTCCGCGAGTGACTACTACCACCATCGAAGTACATTATCGGGCTCGATCGTCGAGGAGGAAAAGCCGGAAGCGAAGAGTAGAGAGAAACAGAGCCACAGGATAAATTCGAATAATTTGTCCGGTGTTCCCGTGAATTGGTGCGCGCTGCAGCCCGCGTTTGTCCTTGACGGACGTCCTTTCGTCGAGCCGTTGCGTCGAGAGACACACACTGTGCGTGCTTTTTTTTGCCATTTCGGTCTGGCAACGGGCTCTGTCGCTCGGTTGTCTCGATTGTCGCTGGCTGGGAACGCGACCGCCGCCTAAGCAGCCGCACAGAAAGAGATAGATAGAGAGAGCAAGCACAACGGTCGGTTGTTAGTCGGACGAACATCATCGGATCGGCGGCCAGCAGTGTGTCGGTGTAACGGAGAAGAAGGAACAGCCGAGAGAAGAATTAATCGAACCGCGACGACTGGGGACGACGCATCGTCGGGAAGCGCGGCGGGACCCCCGAAGCGGATAACGCGACGGCGAGAACCGATCTGACTGGGAAGCCGGCGGCGCGACCTCAACGGCCGAACCCGTGTGTGTCTATCACCGTCTTTGTTTCGCCCGATTCTATATCTTTCCCCGGACGGTCTCCTTCCAACCAGAGTCGCCGCTATTCCTCGTGGTACAGCAATAATATCGTTTCCCGCGCGGACTGCGGATTGGCTGATGTACCAACGAACGAAGAGCACCGGTGCAGCGAAGCAACGTGCCCCGTTTTACTCGCGCTAGCGCCGAGGACGTGTACAAAGGAGAGACGAAAGGAAGATAGAGAGAGAAAGAGAGAGAGAGAGAGACAGAAAGAAAGAGAAGCCACGAGAGCGCGGAGTGCGCCAGAGTGGCAAAACTGTGGCAGACAGACAGAGAGAGGGAGAGAGAGAGAAAGAGACAGAGAGAACGAGAGTAGCAAAGGAGGGGAGTGGGCGGCAGACGAGGAGGGGAACCGCCCGACCGAGTTGTTTCATTCATAAAAAAGTTCTTTATTACTCTCTGTGAGCGCATGTGCTATTCCACGGAGGAGGACCTCCCCCGACCGGCGTAACCACGTTTACACACGGTATTATTTACTACTGCGCGAGATACGAATCGCTGCCACACGCCGTGGCAACGGTACGGCGTACGGATCTCTCTGGTGGCTCGCGCGTCGCGCGCGTTTACGTGTTCCGATTTTGTTCGCCGATCGGTCGGCTTTTCGGTATTCGTCGCCCAGTGTGACATCGTGGGCCCTGACGTGTGTTTATCCGCGCGTGTGTTTACTAAACTACTGGTGTATCAAATATATATATATATATATACATACACATATATATATATATAATACGTGTGTGACCACCGCTGTCGTCGACGACTACGCGCGCCTAATTAGGAACAGTTTCTTATCGGACGTTCATCGAATCGGTCTCTCGCCGATTCGCCGAAGAGGAGGACAGACGAGAAAAAGAAGAGAAGAAGGACTCTGTTCGGTGTGCCATCGAGTGGGGTGTCCCGCGAAGAAGACCAGCTCTCTGCCTGCCACCGTTCGCTCCCGTCTCTCTCTTGCTCCCGTTTTCTTTCGCCGGAGCAAGGAACACCGCCACCGCGTACGCGCGCCTCTGTCCCATCGGAACAGACACTCGTCTCGATTGCGGACGAGCAATTGGAATTCCTCGCGTGTCCACACGCAGGCCCGATATAGTCGGATGGTGCGATCTGGAACGTGAACGTCGATCGATCGCCTTCTCGCGCGCGTCACAAGACCCGCTCGAGGCTCGACCGAAGGTTCGCGCGCGCTAACACACAGGGACTACCAACCGCCAGGAGGAGTTCACCGGTGGAGAGAGACAGAGACAGAGATATACATAGAGAGTGTGCACATGTGCGTGTATTCAGTGTCTGTCGGCTGTGCGTGAACAAAGAGGAACAACAGGGGGGACGAACCGTTGAAAAAAACGAAGACGGTCCTCTCTTCTCTTCTCGCTCGAAGCGATCGGCAAGTGCGGCGAGAAAGTGAGAACGAGATTGCAACGGCGTTGCCGAATCGGGTGACGGGCCCCCGCGCGGCACCAGAGAAGAAGAGGGTGGTTCGGTTGTACAGAAAGTTGCCATTGAAATCGTTCAACCTGGATCTAAGAACGACGAACCTGGACGTTTACGTCGACGACCCTGATCGGTTGTTGGACGTCCGCGACAAATCGCGGGCCCGCGACCGCAGCAAAGCGGCCAAGATAGATCAGAAGACGCTGATCATAGACGAGACGATCGCGACGACGGAGGACAACGGTTACGAGGATCGTTTGCGTGAAGGCGCGAAGGACCGTCTCGCCGGGATGAGGGGCGAGTCGGCGAGGCCGGGGAAGCGGCCCTTAAGGGCGCTCTCCGCGTCGGAGAAGATGGACGCTATACAGAGGGTGCACGAGGGCGAGAGCAAGGCCTCGGTGGCCCGTGACATCGGCGTGCCCGAGTCGACGCTACGCGGCTGGTGCAAGTCCGAGCACAAGATCCGCGGCATGGCGAGAAACTCGTCGACGCCGGACAGCGAGGCGCATTCGCCGGCGTCGTCGTCGGGCGCCAACATGACCGGCACGGGCAATTTGGCCGGCGGCTCGGCGAATCTGTCCAGCGAGGACGAGGGCGGTCCTTGCTCGAAGAAGTCGAAGATGGATCAGCAAACGTCGGTGGTGGTGACCAGCGCCGGCACATCGTTCGTGGGCGACGTGTGCACCGACGTGGACGGCAAGCAGGTCGACAACCAGGCGCAGATCGATTACGTTAGTTTGATGACCAGCATGGCGGGCATGAGACCCGAGAACAGTTCGTTGCTGTTGCAGCAGTTGGGCCTGCTGACCGGCGCCACCGGAAACCTGGCCAAGAATCTGTTGAGCATGGCGCCGGCGTTGACGCACGGCAGCGCCGTCGGGCTCGTCGAGAACGGGCTGCAGTACACGAAGAGCAGCACCGGCAATCCCGGTTGCCTGGTGAACGCAACGTTGAACGGCAGCAGCGGGAAACGACACAGCATCTCGGTGATCGCGCCCGCGCAAATGGACTCGGTGGTCGCGAAATCCTGCACGAGGAAGAGCCTGCCGGCCGCCGCGGAAGCGCCGTCGACGCCGGTCCCGGCGTCGCCGCGGAAGACCAACGAGAACACCGGGATCCAACGGTCCGGCAAGTCGAAGAAGGATGGAAACGTGAGCGGGACCAACAAGAAGGTGGACGAGGCGCTCTGGCTATGGCTGACGCAGCAGCAACAGCTGCTCGGCCAACAGTCGGCCACCTTCAATCCGAGCATCAATCAGCAGGACGGCTCGTGGTTCTGGCAATGGTACAAGCAGTGCAGCTTCCCGCTGATGACGACGACGCCGACGCCGGCCCAGCTATCGCACGCGCCGGTCGCCAAGAGGTCGCCCAGCAAGGCGAGAGCGATGCTCGACAACGTTCTCTGCAACAACAACAACGAGAATGTGAAACGGGCCCTGAACATGATCGAGGTCGTCCAGGACGACGAGGACATGGACGCGGCGGCCGCGGACGTGCCCTGCACATCGGAGGAGGCGATCGAGCACGGCGAGAAGTTCTTCAAATGGTTGGACAAATGCTCGGACCCGGCGGTCACCCGGCTCCAGATCATACAGTTCAAATACCTATTGGACAATCTGAAGGCGTGTAGGAAGAAGTCGTCGTCCAGCTCGAAACAGAGCAGAAAGTAGGCGAGAGATAGAGACAGAAGAGCTGCTGTGATGCTAAATATATATCTTAGGAAAGAGTGCGGTTCGAGCGCGTGCCGCGTCGAACGCCGAGGACAGTGGATTGAAAACGAGAGATAGGTAGAGCGAGAGAGAGAGAGAGAGTATGTATGTATGCATGGGAATTTAACGTGCGCGTGTACATGAGGGAGAGATAGAATGATGACGGACGGTAGTAGTAAATCAGAGGCTCGTCTTCTCGTGCTAACGCGACACGGAGTCATACGATCTCCTTAATTTTTCTTTTATTTTTCGTTTCTTTTATTTTTCGTTTCTTTTATTTGTCGATTCACGACCGTAATCATTTCGCCCGTCGCGAAACGCGTTTTTCCTAGAACGTTCGCGATTTTCTTCTTTTTTTTCCTTAGTGTTTTTAATTTTAAGCCTCGCGCACCTCGTTTGTATATATATATATATATATATATGAGAGTTTTGTCGCACAGGAAGAGAAATTAGACAGGCGGGGAGGAAGGGACGGGGATAGAGAGGGGGGAGGATGAAAGAGATAGAGAGAAGAAAAAAGCGAGAGAGAGACAGACAAAGAATATGAACGAACAAACGATCGTATCATGACCCATCCACTCACTATAACACCGGCTCCTCGAGTTTTAGTAATCTTTTGAGAAACGTGGTTCCTTTTTTTTTTTTTTTTATTGTTCGATATTTGTCTCCGATCACAATTCGGTTGGTTCAATTCTTATTTCGAAACGGTTTTACCCCGAAGAGAGTCGGATCGAATCAAAAAAAGAAAAAAGAATAAAAAGGATAGAGAGAGAAGGGTTGGCAAGCGCGATCTGTTGCTTGTCAATAAAGCTTGTGCGTGAAGAGGATATACCAAATTCGTGAGTGGACTGTTGTAATTATAATGCGAGCGAGAGAGAGAGTTGAGATATCTTTAGGAGAGTTAATTAATTAATATCGACTACTCAATCATTCGTTAGCATTTAAGGTTCGCGCGGGAAGAGGAACGTCCTCGCACCGATTCGGGCGACGCCGCGATAGCGTCACCGACTAACTAAACATCCGACCGATGGAGAAACCGCGATTTAACCAAGAAGACATCGCGAAGATCCGCGTTTTTTCATCCACGGTCGGGGGAAAAAGGGGGTGTGGGGGAATATCTACCATCTTTTTAATTCTTTAATTCCTTTTTTTTCCTTCTTCTTTTTTCGTTTTCGTGTTTAGTTAGGCATACGTTATCACGGTTTAGTTATTCGCGCGACGTATTACATATAAATATAAAGATATATAGATATATTATTATATTTAATGAAACGAAAGAATGTCGTTCCGTTCATTCTGGACTGCGCTTTTTCCCCAAACAGTTCTACCTCTCGTGTTCTGTTAGTGAGTTATTTACGTAAGGTAAATAAGTAGTAAGGTTGTGTGTGTGTCGTGTGTGTGTGTCCGCGCGCGCGCGCGCGCGTGTGTGATTGCGTATACGGGTGGACGCGCGCGCGCGCGCGCGCCTGATAATAAGTATGTGTGTGCGCGTGTATGTATCGACACCGCGACTCGCATGAAACTAAATGGTCCAAAAAACGAAGAACACAACAAAAAATGAAATAGATCCAATAGAACGGTGTAAAGACGCGCGCGATGGTTTGTTATATATCGATGAGAAGATACAAATTTAAGGACCTTCGTCGCTTAGCTTTACGAAGAGAGAGACAGACGCTCGAACGAGACACGTTTGTTCGATCGAGTGTAACACGCGTTCGTTCGTTCGCGGGACTACTCACTATGCTGAATGGCTTGTCCAACGGCACATAGTCGATATAGTCGCTGACGAATTTTCCGCACCCCTGCCATGTGTACAGTTCTGGATACGGCNATTAGACAGGCGGGGAGGAAGGGACGGGGATAGAGAGGGGGGAGGATGAAAGAGATAGAGAGAAGAAAAAAGCGAGAGAGAGACAGACAAAGAATATGAACGAACAAACGATCGTATCATGACCCATCCACTCACTATAACACCGGCTCCTCGAGTTTTAGTAATCTTTTGAGAAACGTGGTTCCTTTTTTTTTTTTTTTTATTGTTCGATATTTGTCTCCGATCACAATTCGGTTGGTTCAATTCTTATTTCGAAACGGTTTTACCCCGAAGAGAGTCGGATCGAATCAAAAAAAGAAAAAAGAATAAAAAGGATAGAGAGAGAAGGGTTGGCAAGCGCGATCTGTTGCTTGTCAATAAAGCTTGTGCGTGAAGAGGATATACCAAATTCGTGAGTGGACTGTTGTAATTATAATGCGAGCGAGAGAGAGAGTTGAGATATCTTTAGGAGAGTTAATTAATTAATATCGACTACTCAATCATTCGTTAGCATTTAAGGTTCGCGCGGGAAGAGGAACGTCCTCGCACCGATTCGGGCGACGCCGCGATAGCGTCACCGACTAACTAAACATCCGACCGATGGAGAAACCGCGATTTAACCAAGAAGACATCGCGAAGATCCGCGTTTTTTCATCCACGGTCGGGGGAAAAAGGGGGTGTGGGGGAATATCTACCATCTTTTTAATTCTTTAATTCCTTTTTTTTCCTTCTTCTTTTTTCGTTTTCGTGTTTAGTTAGGCATACGTTATCACGGTTTAGTTATTCGCGCGACGTATTACATATAAATATAAAGATATATAGATATATTATTATATTTAATGAAACGAAAGAATGTCGTTCCGTTCATTCTGGACTGCGCTTTTTCCCCAAACAGTTCTACCTCTCGTGTTCTGTTAGTGAGTTATTTACGTAAGGTAAATAAGTAGTAAGGTTGTGTGTGTGTCGTGTGTGTGTGTCCGCGCGCGCGCGCGCGCGTGTGTGATTGCGTATACGGGTGGACGCGCGCGCGCGCGCGCGCCTGATAATAAGTATGTGTGTGCGCGTGTATGTATCGACACCGCGACTCGCATGAAACTAAATGGTCCAAAAAACGAAGAACACAACAAAAAATGAAATAGATCCAATAGAACGGTGTAAAGACGCGCGCGATGGTTTGTTATATATCGATGAGAAGATACAAATTTAAGGACCTTCGTCGCTTAGCTTTACGAAGAGAGAGACAGACGCTCGAACGAGACACGTTTGTTCGATCGAGTGTAACACGCGTTCGTTCGTTCGCGGGACTACTCACTATGCTGAATGGCTTGTCCAACGGCACATAGTCGATATAGTCGCTGACGAATTTTCCGCACCCCTGCCATGTGTACAGTTCTGGATACGGCAGCGTACTTCGTCTGATAGTCGTAGACACAAACTTCTGCACACCACACACCACGTGACACATACAACAAACAAAAAGAGCGATTATAGCGATTGTTCAAAAAGAACACACGGATGTACACACATACGCGCGCGCGCTCGCGCACATCAGACACACACGCATACACGCATATCCTTTTCTATCTCGCGTTTTTCTGTTTTCTTTTTTTTCCATCGCCCTTTGACACGACGCTTTGCTATCGTAAGAGATCCGTTCCGCGAAGTGTTAGCATTCTTCGTCGAATAATTTATTCTCCTTGGTCCCTGCGATCATTTTCTTTTCGGTGTTCCGAAACGAATCAGGTTTTCCGTTCGAGCAAACGTCCACGCCAGCAAACCGTGTGTGTTGATCAATGATACCCTGTCGAAGCATTTAAAAGCCATTATTTTTCATGTTCTCTCGCCGTTGGTTCATCAAGTGTGTTTGTATGTGTGTGCGTGTATATATATATAATTATATTATTATTATTATTATTATTATTAAATATAATTATATATAATTATATAATTATATATATATATATAAGAACCTTTATCATATTATCGTTATATTTAATAATATAATTATATAATTATATATATATATATATATAATATGTACGTGTAAATATATGGGAGCTCGTTGGGCCCCGAGTGTGAAAAACGTTTGTCGTCGAGTCTCGTCGTTCCTAATCCATGCCCGAATTGTACTTCGAAGGGAAGCCGCCCCCTCCTTCATCTTGACGGTAGCAAAGCGTATTTATATAAAAACGGACACACCATTGACACCATAGAGATACAGAGATATACAGACACATTACATAAATACACACGCGCGCGCGTGCGCGCGCGCACACACAACAGAAAACCAAAGTGAAGAAAGTGCTGTCGAGTGTTTGACAGCGCGTGTAAATAAGACTGTGAACCCGCGCACTTGCACGCGAAATGTGCATACCATGTATTGTAGAATGTTTGAAGCATGTACGAATAAATGTATAGCGAAGTTTATTTTTATTATTTAGATCGTAGAAGAGGGACGGTTCGAGTGCATTAGAAAAATTCCTATTATGCAATTATATTTCCATTAGTCGTGATTTTAATGGAAAGAGAAAGATGGCGGCGGAGAAGAAGTTTTAGAATTTATTCGCAAGACGACATTCCTCGTTACCTTTTAGATAAACAACAACAAAAACGATAAGGGAGAGAGAGAGAGAGAGAGAGAGAGAAATTGAGAGAGAGTGAGAAACACACATACATACACACGTGAACCTTTAACGAAAGGAACGACTCAAGAAAAGAAAAAAAAATTTTTAACGATATAATATGTCGACATAATTTTATTTATAACACGGTTTAATTTTTATATGAGAGACGAATAACAAACATGCCTTTGTATATTGAGTCGAAAGTATTTATCGAGAGAATACACTGGAAAAAAATAATAAAACACGAACTTATTCGTATATTTCTTCACACTCTTATTCCTTTTTAACGAACACTGATTTCATCGTAGGAGCGACCAAATAATTAAGGGAGTAACGAGAAATGTGGATGTAACATATTTCCTTTTTTTCTTTTGCGAGAAAAAAAATTCGGCGGTGCAACAGAAGAGAGGTGTGGGGAGACGGTTGCGAAATTCAAAAATCCGCTCGCCGCATCGAATTATCCGGGAGGAACTGCGAGTCCGAACGTGTGTTTGTTTCTTTTCGAATCGATCGGTGTCCGTTGTTCCGATTTTTCGTGAAGGTTAGCTTTTTTTTCGTTCCGACGTTTTAGGCAAAGGGACGAGCGCGGCGGCTCGCCTTGTCCGATTGTGCGGAGAAAAAAGTGTGTAAATATAAATATCCAAATGTTACGTACAAAAAGTTCAAAGAACCACTTGAGAACCGTTACGAACGCCGCATTCGAGTTCGATAGCACGCGAAAAAGTTTCCACCGTTCTAAGCTCTCTCGACATCTTGAACGACCAACGAAAAATGATCGGCGGCGGCGGTGGCGGTGGTGGGAGGTTGGAGAACTCTTGATGCGGTACTACGTAACTAAACAACTACTGTCGGTAACCGATTCGAACGACACGACACCTTTGATTGTTCGGACAGTTGTTATATGAAAATCGAGAAATTTCTATGCGTTTCATCGGAGAGCGAGAGAGATAACCTCCTCTCCTCGACTTCGCAAATTAGACACGGAGGAAGAGATATGCGAGATTCTGTAAAGTTGATTAGTGAAACTAGGTAGAGCGCGAAAGAAACGATAAATCGGGCTTCATTGTCCGAGTCTTTCGATTCTGATATCTCTAATTTAATATTTAAAAAGGTTCGTTTGAAAGGAAAGCAGAAATAAATAAAAAGTATTATTTAAACTGAACTTGCAGTCTTGCAGTTACGTGTGTGTGTGTCTCTCTATGCATCACCATTATCCACATCTTATTTTTCCAGTTAATTATCTGACTTACTAGCTTCGCGCATGCAACGATTGCTCGATCATCGGGGACAACACGTCCTGGGTGACACAACAACAACAACAACGACAACAACACGGAACAGAGAGAGAGAGAAAACGCGATTCGTTTATGACACGGAACACATATTTGCATCGATTCGTCGTTTGGTTAGCGCGCGGTAGGTTCGCGCGTTTAAACTTACTTGCACGCCGCACTCGTTCTCGCATACAAGCAGAAGCGGCTTTCGATCCGGATATCTCGTGTGAAATTGTCGTCGAAAGTTTTCGGCGTACCACGCGGCCACCTTCTCCTTATCGCTGACGGTACGGTAACCGCGCGGAAGCGTTCTCAGGTAAACATCTTCCCTCGGGTCGGTCTCCGGCCAGCACAATTTAATCATACCAAGTTCTTGTTGTGCCTCTTTTATAAGTCCAGGCGTAATTTCAGTGTAACTGATAACAGTTCTGGACAGTTTATCGGTGTCATGCTCCGCGTCCGTCTCCGTGAAAGTTGTTCGACTCTCGCCGCTGCCAAATTCAACTTCTTCATTGTTGTTGGACATGCTTGATCGCGACGATTAATTAAATAACTCTGCACGCGTGGGAAGCCGGCGGAACACGACTTTGCTCGATACGGGTAGCTCGTCGGTGCGACAGGATGTCAGAATTTAAATCGAAGTACTTCGATGAACGATTGTTTGTTGTCATAGCGATCGCATGTACTTGGTATTTAAAATGCTGGCCAGAGGGCAGCACCGATCGAGCGAATCGATCGCCCGTTGTTTCGTCTTTGTTATTTCGATATACATTAATTGAGAACAGCTTTTGACGCGATATTAGTACTAAGAATAATTAATGAATTACCTTTAGAAACGACTTTTTATGATTGCGATATTTTCGAAACAGTGTTTACATCGATCTCGTGTAATTATGTAACAAAACGGTTGATAGCATGCGAGCTATCAAACATTTTCAAACAACTTCATCGAATGGCTCAAGATGGCGTATTATAACGGAATTTCTTGTTGCGCCACCTTTTATCGCGGACGGAAATTGCAGGCGAGATACGATTAACAACGACAGGTAAGTTCTTACTTATTATCACGTTTAAATTTAGTAACATAAACACTATTCAAAATCGGTAGTTCTGTGTGCTAGAAGTATATCGAATGAAACAATAAAAATTGATCAAGTAGTAAATGCGCAAAATAAATATCTACAGAGATTGAACTTCGTAAAGCGAAACCATATAAATCGGTACCTAACGAACAAGCCTGTACTTACACCTTGTCGATAAGTACACGCTATACAGGGTGTCCCAAAAATGTCTCGCAACCCGAAAGTGGCGGGTTCCTCAGGTCATTTGAAGCAACTTCTTTCTTTACAAAAATGCAATCCGCGGCTTCGTTTACGAGTTATTAACGAAAAACCGTGACCAATCAGAGGCGAGATCATTTGGCGCGATACGGCCGAGCCAATGAACGGAACTGGGCTCCGCGCACTCGTTGACTGGGCCGCCGCGCGCCAACCGAGCTCGCCTCTTATTGGTCAGTGTTTTTCGTTAATAACTCGTAAACGAAGCCTCGGAGAAAATTTTCGCAAAGGAAAAAGTTGCTAATGAGAGGCGAACTCAGCTGGCGCGAGGCGGCCGAGCGGAACTGGGCGTCGTGCGCTGGATGGCTGAGCCGTACTCGATTCTTATTTGTCACTGTTTTTCATTAATAACTCGTTAACGGCGCCTCGGAGAAAATTTTTGTAAACGAAGAAGTTGCTTCAAATGATCCGAGGAACCCGCCATTTCCGGATTACGAGACATTTTTTGAACACCCTGTATTTACAGTTTTATGTAGAAAGTGGCACATCATAATAAGCGTTATAATTTTATTAATAAAAGTCTTCAGATACATATCACTGGTATAAAACATACGCATCGTCGGAACAAATATACATACAAGCTGCGAGAATAACATTTCACGATAATATATAGTTTTATTCATAAACTATATATAACAAATCGAGTTGATCTCTTCGTAATATATTATATGTATAATATAAAACAAAAATATTAATGGAACTGAAAGATAGTTACACGAATCTTGCATTGCTTATTTGCATAATCTTGCAAAAATCTCTTAATAAAATTTATGCGTTTAGGTCTAAGGTTCATTTTATTCGCGTGTCATCATGTCAATTGACTTTCCCGTATTGTATGTTTCTTGTTTCGCGGATTCACACTCGCGTTTCCTTGTGATTTCACGTCATGGATTCAATATATTACAGAGGTCATGAAAAACAACTGCCCGGGCACTTGGCGCAGACCGGCAAACATCAATTCTCCTCGTTCGAATCTTGCCGCCATTTCTGAGCCGCTTCCCATCTCGCGTCAGGTACCAGTTGCGACTGCATACCACCTAAAACGTTACTAGTGGCTTCGGTGGCCAAAATAATCGGCTTCACGACCGTCGATGGTATTTGCCGTAGAACACCGCCAACGGCGCCAGAAACACCCTTCTGTTCGTGTTCTTCGCTGGCTACACGGACTAACTGATTTGCTGTTTCTCCCAAACCCTAAAAAAATACACCTTCAATGTTAGCGATTAGCATGACAAAATATTCGTTCTGTTTACAACATTAATCGGATGATTTTGTAATCGTCAATATGCACTGCACACCAATTAAAGATCTGCAACAATTTATCTTACAAGCGATAGAATTAACATTTAATTTATTTTGCTACCAATGCTATGACATAGTTTAATGCAAGATTTTATAGATGAATAAATAGACAGACTAAGAATCGGTTGAAGATACAGCGAAAAAGTATATCCGACATTCTGAGTGAAAGATTCATGTTAAATTATTTTTTCTTTTTAGTAAATTCCTTTTGTATGTCAGCAAATCTCTATTAAAATTTGTACTGTGGGACCCAAAAAGATTTGACCATTTTCAAGATTCACCTCTTTCACTAGCATATAGGCGTTATTCATTCCTTCTCGAATGTCCAACGGTTGACTATATCTCTTCCGACGTCCTTTCTGCCCTTTCGGTTTTCGTCTAACACTGGGCCCAGGACTGACCATGTCGTAAGCTGTTTCAGCGGTGCTTTGTATAGCGTGTATTAATCTAGAAGTTAATTCTAATGCTGCCATTGTCGTGGACGTGGTGAAACTGTTTGCACCCCGTTGCAGGCCCCTAATGATTCTTCCATCTTTCTGGTACTGTTCAATGGGCAACCAAAAGAGATCTCTTATCCCTTGAACTACAACACCATAAGGAGCATTCAATTTGAATATTTAATGTAGTGTATTATGCAGTGAATATAGTATAATATCTAAACTGATATTTTTGCTCACATAATTGTACCAGCGAGTGTATAGGACCTACACCGCCAAGCAAACTTGGGAGTTGATTCTTTTTAATATCCTGCAACCACTCGGAGAGTAAAAATGTGATGAGTTTATCGAATCCCAGAAGTCCATGTCGATGTGTCAATCTTTTCAGTCTTAATTCAGAACAGTTCAACTGTGCCAGTCCCATTAGGAGGCCCGCTAATGATCCGTGAGTGAGATCTACACGCTTCCCATGATAATCTAATCTAACAAGGACTTCGGGGGAAAATATTACACTCCTGGCGCAAAAAAGAGACAACAACTTAATTATATTATAGGATAAATCTTACTGTCACAGTATCGTTACCTAAAATATATCGGTTGACAATCTTCGTGAACTTCTTGCGTTGCTTTCGCTTTCGTCTTCTTCTCTTTGATCATCAGCTCGTCTTCCAGCAATATCAACAGATTCGGATTTAGAGTATCATTTTCCGACGTATTCGTTGGTGATGGAGCATTAGGCGCAGTGTCGTTCACGCTCATGACCGGTGGGTGGTGGGTTAGCGACCCTTGCTTGGACACCGGAGGAGTTTGAGGATTGCTAGATGCATTAGAATTCTCGGTTGTCTGCTTTGATTCACCGCTCAATTCGTTGAAGAACTCTATCAAGAACAATAGGCTGTCTTGGTCTATGTTTAGACGCAATGGCAGTAGGCTGAGCTTTAAACAACATTCTTGAGCACTTAATCTTGGGTCCGGCCTGACGTGGACCGCTTTCATAGCAAACATGTTCGCATGGGACTGTTTGGGTTTCGATTCGCTACTATATTGGTATAAGAATTTGTTGATCTGCGAAGATGCTAGCCTGTCCCGAATTTCAATATCACTTATTAGCAATATTTGTCTGGCCGCTTCAACAGTATTGTCCGGATAGACCTCGTGTTGAAAGCGCACTTTATTCAACTGGAGTTCCATTAGGACATCGTGCTGCCGACCCGGGCCTCCTACTGCTTGCCATTCTGTAACTTCTTTAACCTTTCCTCGCGGCGAATTTGGCACGCTACCGAAATGTACCTCGTTAGGATTGGATTTATTGAAAGTGACACCGTCGCACCAAGGAGATCTGCATATATATATATGATCATAATTGTATGATATATTCAAGATTTTCGTTGATATATAATATACATACCGTTCTTGAGTCGCTGTGTTCGGGCGAATTATATTATCATTAATAGTAACTTGTTTTTTGATCGGTGGCGAGGTATCGAAATCCTTTCCTCCGTACATGTGCCAAACCAGCGTCATTTCACAGAGGGTATACCTTAAAATGGGAACAGGAAAATGCCTAGGCGCTTTCAGTAAATCCGTTTTACCGAGCGGAACCGAAAAGTGGTTGTCTATTATTCTTAGAGATTCTAAACACAGCCACCGAACTTCCGGCACGCCGTGCCTAGGCATGATTCCTGTGCCAGCCTCTTCTCCTAATATACAAAAATCCTCGTTAGAGTCATCAGCCTCCATATTACATTCCGGCTTGGCACATTGCTCGGGGCCTTTACACATTTCAGGTACTATTTGCGACGTTGCGTGGGGTTCGTCGGGAAAAAAGAACACCTCTACACGATTTTCGGCTACCATCGTGTTATCGTCCACATTTATATCCTTTCCTAAATGGTAACGATACCATTACTCGTGAGAAGATGAAAAATAAGAATTGAGTTTAAAATGTTCCACCGTATCGTTTAAAATTACCTTTCACGGTCTCCTCCATCGCTTCCTCCATTAAACTATTTATACGTTCTTCTTGACTCTTAGTTAACATATTTATACTTTCGTCCCCAAGAAGACTCTCCTCGTCTCCAGAACTTGGTATCGTGATACTCTCCATGCTTTCTGTATTCGATGCTAAGTCCCCATCACTGGCAAAGTATTTCAACAGTTGAATAAGAGCACGACCGGAATCCGAACACGTTCGAATATGGAGAACATTATTGCTAGCTCTCAGATCTATTCTGGGCCCTCCGCCGCACATTTTATCATTTAATCTCAAAGACAGCTCGAACAGGCCTACATCCATAACGCACACATAATCCCGCTTTATGTCGATCGTTTTCCCTAATTTGTTGGAGATAAATAAAGCAATATCCTCCGCTATAAAGCGTAACGTCGAGGTGTTCGTCTGTCCGGCTATGTTACTAGAGACGCTGAAATTGCCGAGGGTCACCATTGCTCTGAGTGGCAAATATAATGGCCTAAAATTGAGGAAACGTTCCATTAGCTGTTCATTGTGTGAACTTTGTCTTTTGAATTGATCTGAGTAAAAACCTATAATCGATTGCACAATTCCAAAGATGCAAATGCAGCTCCGTTAATATCCCGGGAGGACAATATCCAGCGACCGGATGATCAGCTACATCCAAGCAATCTTTCAGCTGCGAGAACCATGACGTAGCACTAGTGCACACTCTATGCCTGAGTGTTGCATTCGATATGCCTACTGCCACTCTGAATGTCTGTAAAAAAGAAACACGAAGAATATACAAACAATCGGACTGACTACAATAATTCTTTGCATTTAAGAAAAAACATACTTTTATACGATGAGTCTGATGAGCCGTTTGTATCCGAATAGCGAGCATCACCATATCTTTATCATTATTGCTTGTTTCTGTTACATTCGCGCCTGGCACAGTTTTATATATAACCTTCTGACAATGTCGCGGTGTGACGCTGCTAATGGGTCTCAGTGGAGGTGGTTCCGATGGAGTGGTCATTAATCCGTAATGATCCAAAGACACTTCTTTTATCATGGCACACACGTAACCCAAATTTGAATTCCCTTTGTAGGTAGGTACTGAAAATATCGTCGCATCTTCCACCCTTATTATCAATTCCCCCTGTTGCCCGGGTATTACATTGCGCAACGAATCGCGAACCGGGGTAAACATACAGAGGAGACCTTGATCTATACTCAAAATTAGTGCTAAGTTACTCTGACCGTTTCTTGACGACTTATTCTGATGTTGTCTGTAACTTTTATCGGCTGCAGATTGAAATATGCCGTCCGAGTCCGACTCAGTGTCGGAATTGTATTGAATACCACTTTTACACGTGCTGAATCTAAAACGCGCAAACATATTTTACGGTTATCGCTAAACAACTATTTTATTCTTGTTGAAACCCGTTACCTGGGATAAGCTGACTCCTGCAACAGGGTGGATGCCAAATTAAGTCCAATATAACTCTCCATATGTGTACCATACTTCGGCCTCGGTGCTGATGGTTCCCATAAAAACAGGTCAGTATTTAACCTATTAAACAACAATTCATAAAGATGCTTAGATGGTATCTGAACAGAAACACATGGAAAGTTGATCTCCACTTGAATCCTAGAACCTCGAATGCCTTCATCCATAAATTCTAGCATTTCTTCACGACTACCTGGTATGATTAACTCCTCCCCTTCTCTATTAACAAAATTTGAAATCTTTTATTCTATAGGAATTCGAAATCTCTCCAAACATTCTGATAGACCAACCTTTGTTCTGTATCGTCTCTGTCGCCCTGTCCATGGGGTCTAGAATGGGGTGTATCGGATTCATGAATCACCCGTTTGGAACTGAATGGCGATGGTTGGTGCTTAGGAGTCTTCTTTAAAGTTTCGTCCAGGCTGGAATCCGTTTCACCATCGGAACTGTCCTCTAGTTGGCTGCTCAAGCGTTGCGGATATATCGTAACAACCACTCTGGCCCAGTCGAAGCCTTCGTTGACTTGATCACAGGATCCATTGTCTTTGTCGTCAGTTGTAACTTTGCCTATATTTATTGGATTGTCCATCTCCGTTTCCGCGTACGAAAGAAGCATCTTTTGGAATTGAACCTCGTACTTCACCACAGACTGAGGATGATTCTTCATGGTGCAAATTATTTGCGCATCTTTCAGTTTCAAAACCATGTAATCCATTCTTACTGATCGTTTCCACCATGGCGCCCGATTCATGTCGTGCAGTGGTCTTAAATCTGGTATTGGAAACCTATTTTTAAATTATTGACCATTTAAATGTGTAACGTGTAAAAGATACTCATATGCTTTCACTTTTGTACTCGCATATTACCTTAGTTTTATTGCACACTGTGTTGCAGACACATTTATAGCAGCTGCAAAGTTTGATAAAGTTGAATGTTCTACAGCTTGGTAAAATAACGTTTGTTGAGTCTGGAAAAGACATAATTTGAATAATAAAAAGAGCTTAAATTATAATAGAGTGCAATATTTCCTCCGTAGCGTCGCCACTCTTTTCACGTCACGTTTCCATTGCTAACATCTCGTAGCACAACTAATTGTAAGAGAAAATAGTTTTCTTCGTTTGCGAATGTGACTTGATTTCGAGTTACGCGACATTATAAAGGAAATGTTATACATCGATATGAAATAATGCTAGTAAAACTCACGGTATTCTTGTTTTTCGAGGCTGCATTACAAACGCATATTGGCTGTGGATTAAGTAAAGCACATATCCTATCTACAATAGTTATATCCACTTCGCTGTTGCATGGCCCCAATTCAATGCTACGCAAACATTGACGTAGGTTTAATTACAGCAGCTCAAGTTTATTTTATAAATATAGATTAAAATTTGCTCAACTTACTCGATTTCTGTACAAGGATGCGTGGATTTCATTAATTGGGCATGCCGAGCACTATGAGCGTCTTCCACATACTTAAATTTCATTTTAAAATTTGTTTTATTACTAATACCGTGTTTCGTCGAATTCTTCTTTACGAAAGCAAGCAGTTCTACAAATTCCACTGGCGGTGTTCCATTCACATTGGAACTGTTCGAATCGATTAAACATTCTACAATTTCTAAGCTGGCTAAAGTCAACGTTCCAGATATTACTGAAGACAATGTAATAGTCTTTTCCCTCCCTTCCATCACTAAAGGTGCAGCAAGCAACCTGCAATAAATTCAAAACGATTGATTATAAAATTTAGATTGTTTTAATTCAATGTAGTAGTTTATTTGCGCACACCTAATGTGACTCAAGTGGCAAGCATCTAAAAGCAATTTAGACGCCTTGTCAAAATCTTTATTTCCATATCCGCCAACTGCAAACAATCCCAATTGCTTAAAAAATTCATCTGCTGAATTTTTCATTTGCTGTATACTGGAGCATGTTAAACCACCACCATCCACACATGTCGTCAATATATCTTCGTGTAACAAGATCACAGCTATAGAAGACACTCTCACGCGAAAATGAAACGTATCGGCAGAGGAACCATTGTCCACGCTATGTCTGTGTTTGCGCTGTTTCGTTATATTTGTAATCGAAGATTTCAAGTTAATACTACTGGCGGATATACTTTCATCCATGCTAGTATTATTGCTTATAATAGAATCGCTCATCGAAGAAGATCCCGGTAATTGCATTGGTAAAAACTCATCTTCATTATCTGACTCATCCAAAGATGCTGTAGACCAACCTTGTGTGTGCCTTAAATCCTACAATTTTATATTTATGACTTATTTATTGAAGACTTTTAAATATTTAATGATATATTTATACCGTTGTACGCATTCCTTGTATTGGACGTATTTGATGAATAAGTTCTCGTTCTACGCGATTAAAGTCGCTACCGGCCATTGGTTTCTCAGTGCATGTTCTTGGTACAACGTTACTAATGTCTTCCAAATCTGGAGATGCTAGTCCATGTTCCAGTTCCATTAAAACATGCACTTGCCGAGGGCTCAAGAACGAAGTAAAAGAGCCCAAAGTTACTTCTAATTCTACCTAAAGTAATTAATTCCTCCTTTATTTCGGGCGACGTTCATTAAAATATGGTGTCAGCATGTAAAGAAATTTGTTATTTAATTTCAATCACTTGACTTTACCTTTGGCCCTGAAACACCTTCTCCTTGTTTCAACATCAATCTTATTTCTTGTCTGCCTGCCAACTTAGCAAACATTATAGGATTCAATCCATTTAAATTATTAAGAATATTTCCCTCTGGAGGAGTTTGGATATTTTGAACAGAAGATATTTGTGCTGAAGAAAATTGACCGTCTGAATTCTGGAGCAAAAATATTCCACAAAATTTTTCTCTAGATTTCTAATTTTATTCATTTTCTCACTAAATCTCAGAAAAAAATATTACTTTAGAATCTGGCGTGGAACCCCTACTCGTTGTTATTAAACTCCTAGAGAAAGTTCTTGCTCGAGATGGAAATTCATCTGTATAAAACGTCACACCCTCTAGATAGAAGCGTTTTGTAGTGAATGCTGACACAATGTAACTCTTTGTTGCCTGGTTCGGATCTAATGATGTACTACTCGGGTCCAAGCCTGCTTCGTCTGAATATTCCAGGTTTTTTATACACATCTCTATTGCAACTCCAGTGGAAGAGTCTAGCGGCACATGTTCCAAACGTATTATGGTATCTATGAATCTCACTTTTACCCTGCATAAAACTGAAAATAAATTTTTTGCATTACAACACATTTATTCCTAAACTTTATATGTTACATCCAAATTCATACTTGAGTCTATTGTTTGTGCAAACAGTTCTATTCCTTCCAACGGCTGATTATTCCCAGCATTACTAGCATCTTCTTGTAAACATTCTTGTGCAAGCTGCATACTAGATGTCATGGAACTCCACATAGACTCGAACATTGACGTCCCGCTTTGTGTTCTCTGTCTAGGTTGAACGGTCAATCTGAGACGGGTTACTTCCACGTACGTGGCTTCGCTCAACAAAGCAGACCAAGGTATACTAATGGACATCTCCGCTATAAAACCATCAACGAATTCCAATGGGAGATTTTGTTGTTCTCCCATTTCGTTGAGCGCCTATTAAAAAGAAAACAATAAAATCTTTCTCTCTCCTTAAATGTCATATTCGATAAAAGAGGATCCCTTCGGACAAACAAGGTGAATCACACCTGTCAATTCTTTTATCTTTGTCATTACTAAACAAAGACCAACAAAGATGAATGAAACAAAGAAAATGACAATACCTGCACATCAAGGCTGACATTGGTTACACGACCAGTTCCATTATAAAGATCTACAGTAAGCTGATCCAATGTCAACTTCTCCTCGAAAAATTGACCAAGATATCGTTGTAGGAGATATCTGCAGGCCCGTTTTTTGATCCCCTGTGACCAGGGTAAACATCCCAACCAGGACATTGTGTCTTTACGTTTGACAGTCCAAATCTAAGAAAGACAGGATTTTCGAAGGTCTGTCTCCCGTCATACGTCTTATGTTAGGCCTGTTATTCGGGCACGGTGCATAAAAAAAACAATTTATCTATGTGAATTACATCTTTCTAGCACGTGTCCAACTTGGTACAATGATCCTTAACATAATACGACAATTCGGATGTAACACGGGGGTTCTAGCTGCGTAATGTTTTCCTTCGGACACACTACAAACATTTACACACACACATGCTGACGCGCGGGTACAGTCGCGCCTGACTATCGGACAACACTGTGAAACGATACACTCATTGACTAAAATCATCTGACTTTCGAGAGAGACGCGCACCGATACTCGGATTTTCTAATATGTATTGCTCCGTCACATTTGTATTAATGCCATTTCAACATCATTTCAATAACGCATACATCGTTTCTATCACGAGTGATACAGCAGTTCCGTTACGCTCGCTTATGAATCTATTTTTTTCTGTTTATCGTTGAGAATTATTCATTCTGTTTCTCTGACGAGCAAAACCAGCACGGAAGCTTATAACTTGTAACTTCAAACGAATTTATTTGTATCGTACCGCATCATTGGTTATCAGTTTTCTTGTAATTTAATAACAAATTTATTCTTCTATGTATTGCTTTTCCATGAAAAATGTAGCGATATGGATAGATAGTGTGATAGCAATTAATTTTATCATACCCTATCATTTGTTCCATATATGTGCGTATTGTATATGTATATGTAAAATACGTATTTGAATCAGTGTAAAGAATATAAATGATTCATATTACGTATGTATCTGTAGAAATATTAAATGTGTTCCTTATTCGAATACGATTTGCATGTCAATACCAAAAAAGTTAGTGTGTACACAATGTCACATTTATAATATTCTTTGCATTGCATATCATTTTTTGCATAAATACATATGCGTAATTGTTGCATACTTAATGCATATTGTGAAAGAATAATTTATCATTCTAGGATTTTCATATTGAACCGATAATGACGTTTCGATATTTGTTTCAAGTTTTAATCTATTCGCCCTTATGCAATTATTTGGCGTTCAGTAATTTCAAATTTATTTAATAAACATGTAAATGAAGAAGATGTTTTGCAAAGTTTACCAGACTGATTGCGCCCTCGTTCATACTAGATTTTTGATAAGTTCCGATTTCCGATGCATGTGTCATGTATTTACATACATACATACATACATATTGGATTGGATCGCACTGTCATAGAAATTATTCGGAAGTATACCAGAAGTTCATTAAAACGCAATTTATTTTTACAAACGTATTACAGACGAACAATTATTTCTACCGATTAAGAAAATGGCTCTAACCAATATTTTGCTGCTTAGTCAAATATCTGGATATATTGTAGCCTTCATTTTATCACTTTGCATTATCATACCTATGGGTTTGCATCAAGATGAATTTAGGTATTTACAGCATCAAGTGAAACAATTAACAATTAATTATAATTTTTATGTGTGACATGCTGTCACTGTAATTTTCTTTTTCAGGGGTCATTGTCTACTATTCTCGACAGGAACATGGCAAGAATCAGATGGGCAATTTGTTGTAAATTGGGCCTCGCAGGCTTATTGTAATTATACAATATTTGTTGGTTTGCTGTTGCTTTTAACATCTGCTGTACAAATCTATAGATTATCTGTATTGATGTATCACGGTGAAGACAGCTCTTTCTTATCAGCATTCATAGATGTTGTTAGTTCAATAGTATTTACAGCAATAACTTTAATTGCTGCAATTATTGTCACGCTTGGATTTATGACTTGGTGTCAAAATATGACAAAGAGATTTCCTTCGTGTGAATTGGCAGCTGGAAATGACATTGATAAAGCTGATGGAATAGACACATCTGGTTTTCACATAGAGTTAGGTGCTGCTCAGTTTGGAACATGGACTAGTTTATCTATTTGGGTTGGTTTGTCAGTTTTTGCAGTCTTAAAGTTGCTACGATATCATCAATTGGAAAATATGAAAGTTTCGATGTACAGAGAAAGGCAAAGATTGATAGAAGCAGCTAGAAGTAACGAAATACAAGAAGTAAATTAGGAGAATATATATATATTGTAAGAATCTAAAAAATGCCAATGTTTCAATTATATTATTGAAACTCTGTAAAGAAATGTTTGTACACTAAAAAAAATCAGTTTTGCAAGCATGCAGTTTCCATTTCATGTAATTAATACAATATAAATTGATTCGAAACGATTTTCTATCAAAAGGTATGGAACAAGAAAGAAAAGTTATGAACTTATGAAGTTTTTCGAGATTAAAGGGCAGAATCTTAAAATAAGTTTTTCTTTGTTCAAATTTTAATATGTTATATAGTTTTTAAATTTTACACATATCACAAGACTGGATAAAATAGTTACTTATATGCTTTATAATTAATACATACTCTATTAATATATACTCTAATAGAAGATTTGTGATTTTTATTTTAACTAATTTTCTTTACCTTAAACAAGTGTTACATGTAAAGAATTTTTATTGTATTATAATCTGCCAT